AAGTCTAAAAATGTTTCGTTTTGTAAGAGCTGATGATCACTATAGATAAATAAAAAAGTACAGTGGAAGCAGTTTACAGTGACACGACCAGCTAACTTGTTCACATATCCTTCAATACTTGTTTTTTTTAAATAACCCACGGGAGCACGTGTCCCAAAAGCGCATGCTGCCAAGGGATTGTTGTAAGTGTACAACTTCCACACCCTCTGTTGTCATTCAGTGTTCTGTCTGAGCTTTTCTTTTTTAAAAGCCACCAGCTGTTCAGAGTTCCTCAAATTAACAAGGGGTTTGTAATATTTTCCTTTGACAAGGAAATTGGACAAATATGGGCATCCTTGAATAGAATCATAGAAAGGGAAGTAAGTCCTGAGTCAAAGGGGAGAGTCTTCAGTATGGTGCCAACTATGTATTGCCAAACTGTTTCTAGACAATCGTCTGTAGATAGATAGATGCAGACATACAGCTAGAGCTATCTTCATGCCTGTGCTGGCGTGTCACCCGTTTCGTCCGGAAGATAAGCAGATGTCGCGCTCTCAGCGCCCATCGAGATGCTGCATCTGTTCCACATGTTCACATAGCCATTTGTAAAATGATTTTCTTCTAAAGATGCCATTCAGAGAGGTTACAGTTGCATCAGTAAGGTAATGAGTACATTTCTTGTCGGGCATTGTTACCCCCTCCTTTGTTTTTCTCCCACTTTCTCTTCCCTCCCCCAATTCCCCCCACATAGCCATTTTTTATGAATGCTTCCCCTTTGCCCAGTGGTGTGGCCTGCATCCCGTCTTCACCAAAGTCCTGGGGTTAGCAGGTGAACAGTAACTGTGAAGCCTGCCGCAGTGGAGTGTGGTCATCCAGGTCTGGAGTGACAGCCCGATGCCCTGTATTCCACTCACACACCTCAGCCTCCGTCCCGTCCCCTCATAGGGCAGATTTTTTTTTTTTTTCCTGTTCTCTTGCTATGGTGGAGGAATAAACTTGATGATTTCTGAGACAGTGTCTAGGGATGTTCGCACCCGGGCGGAACTCAGAGCACAGTGCTGCTGTCCCCCGTGTCTAGCGTCCTGTGTCTCTCACACGGCACGTTGACCAAGGGCACGTTGCATTCCTGCGGGCCCCCTCTCTGCCTGCCTCCTAGCCGGATCTGGCAAAGGCACTCAGCCAGCCCCCATGCTCCCAAGCTCCCAAGGAACCCAGTACTGAAAAGTCTTTGGAGTTAGAAATAGGCACAAGTCTCTTTTTGCCAGTTAGTAGCTGTGTGATTGGGGTAAGTTACTGAACCACTCTGTGCCTCAGTTTCTCCTGCTGTAAAGTAGGGGTAGCATCCGTCCTCATCATGTAGGACCATCACACTGAGGGATGTCCACAAAGCACTGAGCATGATGACAGGAATCTGATTAGTAGTCACCTGGCAGTTTGAAATGCTCAGGTGATTTTGTAGGCCGCAGGAGCAGGAAAAAGAAGGTATTTAAAGTTAAGATGCTATGTCAGAGCTGACTAAGGTAGGTGAGACTCACTGCCTGAGCCAGATCTTGCCTAAAGCACATGATCTGTGAGTGACTGGAAGCTGGGGAAAAGAAAAGGTCACTTCCCCCCTCCCCCTTGTGTGCTAATGACAACATTACCCCGTCTGTGCCTTGCTCAACACATGCCTGCTTTCTCACACACACACTTCTGCCCTGAGCCCAGCTGAGAGAGTTAATTGGAACCAATGGAAATCTTTAGCCAGGAGGCAAGGTGGGAGCTCACTTTCTCTGGTCCCTGTCACTCACCTACCAATTGTCACTGTCTGAATGTGACATCTATTAATAATGAAACTTTCTTTGACTTTTCCTTTTCTCAGTCTTAGACAACAATAGGTTTTGAGTCTCTTAACGAAAGAGACAGGTGTCTTACAGTTGTTTACATATTGTAAGTGTAAACTGCTTGCAGGGAGGGGCAGAGGTTGGTGATAAGGTGGCTTTATTTTTAAAAATTAAAACAAAACAAAACAAAAGGCCTGGCCAAATGTAAAAGCTGAGACTTTGACAAGTGACATTATTTAGGAAGTCGTTTCTTTCCCTTTCTCTGCAATCAGATTTCTCAGCCTGGTACATTGTGAACAGCTTAGTGTTGTTGAGTAATTTATGTCAAGATGATTAGGAAGGCTTTTCTCTGCAGATTTTAATTTTTCTTAAATTAAACTAGTGCTTAAAAAAAACAAAACAGAATTTTCCTTGAACCCAAGTTTTCATACTAGGGATTTACATAACTTCTCAATAATGCCTACTCATTTCCTCTTCCTGTCCCCTTCCACCTAAAATTCTTGGTCTTTATTCTTCAAAATAGCCAGGAAACTCATTTGTTATTTAAGAAAACCCCAAACAAATCTCACTTGCTATGAGTTGTTGTTGTTATTGTTTTTCATCTTAAAAATTTTTGGGAGGGTGGCAGAGCAGGTAGTACCCCAAACCACATTAGTGAGAGAGGGGGAAAGTTGGTCTCCTGTAATGAGCACATTTCATGACATTCTCTTACGGGGGAAAATGTACCATTTGATGCATCTGTTGCCATAGTAACTGCTGGGTTTTTGTGGTTTGTTTCTTTCCCCCCCCCCTCCTGCCCCCCCAGTTGAAGGAAAGGCAGAATGGTGATTTGTGATTTTCCTGTATCTTCAGCTGCTTTAATGTGAGCTTCCTGTTTGGGGTGGGAGGTTCCGAGTGCTGCTTTGGTTACCTCCTGCCTGCTGATTGCTCACTGACCAGGGAGGGGTCTCGCTATTTACCCTCAAAACCACTAGAAGGAGAAAGAACAGCCGCCAGCAGGAGGTGAAATGTCCAGGAGGCACGCTTGCTTGTTGTCTGGTTCACCACAGACTCCTTTGACTTTGTCCATTTAGCCCCATGGTCTGCAGCCTCGATGGCTGCCTCGGGTACCTGCTCACGTGGATAACAGGTTTCATCCGGGCCTCCTGCCTCTCACACAAACCACATCCAGTCCCCGGCTCAGGAGCGTTTGCTCCTAGCCATCTCTCCTGTCTGCATTCTTACTCAAACTAAATCAAATAGATGCAACATGATATCTGAAAAGGGAAATCACGTTTAAGCTACACTATTCCACACAGAGATAACTTATCCTTACCCGGTTTTGTTCTCAGTCTTTCTTAACTGAACCTTTAAATTAAAGTCAGCCATCTAAGACCCCAGTTTCCCAGGGACTGCTTTGGAGAATGGTAATGTGTTCTTACCGAGCCCGGGCACCACTGGTCAAACCCATCATGGGGTTTTCTAAGCCATGAATGAACCTTGTACTGAAACTTTCCCCTCCCGACAAGCAGTTCATTTAAAAAAGAAGGAAAAGAAAAACACTTAAAATACTCTATGTAACTTTCTTCTTGCGATTTTGAATTCCCAGTTGGGCTAGGTAGGAAATGGGTTTCAGGAGCTGAGGATAGGCGTCCTCTCCTGACAGTGCTGCAGACATGTGCGGGTAGAATGCAAAAGGGAAAATGGATTTGTTTTTCATTCTCTGCACATGTGTTTAAGTCTTCATTATTTTCCCTTCTCACCTGTTTGCCTCATTCTACTTTTGTCCCTGGGCATTCTGTGGTTAGCATCATGAATTAATGAAGGAGATAAACCTGGCAGTGTAGCCCTGCGACTTTAAATGATTTGGGCAATTGACAGGATTCCAGAGTTTCCTGGTCTTTTCCTTTCTCTCGGTTCCTTCCCTCCCTCTGTCTCTCAGGACCTCCCTCCCCCTCTGCCTGCCCCCTTCCCCTCCCCAACTTGTTTTGCAAAAGCCTCATCGAAATCTCCAGACATATTTATTCTCAGAGTTTATTAACAAATCACTTTTAAGTTCCGCGGAGTCAGGTTACAGTTGCTGGTCTCTTCAGAAGAACTCTCGAGTGTCTATTTTAGAGACCTGCTAGATTTCAACACCTCTGTCTGCTAGACTTCTCACTTCCTTTCTCTCCATGATGCACCGGAGGAACTCCGTGCCTTGTCCCTAGAACAAACAAACAGCAGAAGTTCCAGGGGAAATTCATCAAGACTGTACTTTTAGAAATGCACAGATGAGAAAGGGGTCCGCGAGTCCTCTGGGAGCCTGGTGGAAATGTGATAGAGGAATAAATCATGTTTCTGTGTGCTGGCTTGCCAATACATCTCTTAAAACAGCACACAAATCACTTTCTTTTCTTGGTTAGAATTATAAGAAAGGGGTACTGCGTCCTCTATCCAGGATTGCTTTTTATGTGTGTAGATTTTAATTTTTTCATTATTCCAAAGTGGATGGACGTACAGAGGGAGTTAGAAGCCCTGTTCAAAACAGCTTCACCCACTAGCATCGCATGCCCTTTCTGCCTCATTGACACTGCCTACTCCTTCACCCATAGTATTTGAAGAGCAAATTCCAGGCATGGTGTCATTTCATCCATGATTCTTACTTCCAATTAACATATTTGATATCTTCCACTGTTTTTATTTCCCGGAGCACTATTTTACCATTGGCTCATGGATCATCTTTGTAAGAAAGGCTTACTTTTTGACTTAATTGTTTCATATTGTTTCCACATACGTTCTCTTAGGCTGATATATTGATCTTTTGGGGACCTTGGGAATAATTCCAAGTGCTTAGAGTAACAATTTTAAACTGTCATGTGGAAGCTGGCCTGTAAACTACTCAGATTATCCAGTCTATCAGCTTAGCCCGAAGAGCCTTTTGTTTTTGTTATTACTTTTTAGAGTTCCCCCTTCAGATAGTGAATATTCTAGATTGCCACCATTGAACAAACAAAAAACCATGATCTGTTTTCCTGAGAAAATATTAAAGTTGACTTTAGAGTTTCAAAATGCTTTTTTTTTTTTAATCACTGAGTTTTGTTTTGTTTTTTTTCCACTGAGCACTGAATGAAATGGAACCAATTTGTACCTGAATATTCCCGGGTTTCTTTCGTTTAATATTGGCGTCTTCGTTGTGTTAAATTCAGAACCTGATTTCATTATCCTGTTTGAATTAAGGGTGAGGCGCTCAGACAAATTCTGGTCAACCGTTACTATGGAAACATCAGACCTTCGGGAAGACGAGAGAGCCTTACCAGCCTTGGCAATGGCCCCCTGTCACCAGGAGGACCCAGCAAGCCTGGGGGAGGAGGTAGGCTGTGTGCTGTGCATGAGCTTTGAGTGTGAATTGGGCAGTCACGTGAGAGCTGCATGCTTCCGGGTGGCTGGAACTTAGATTATGTGTGTTGCAAGTATGTGTCCTTTTTTAGGAACTTGTTTTCTTTGGTCTACTATCAAACTGATGTCTAAACACATTTCCTTGCAAAACAGAATTTCCCCACAACTCTATTGTGGCTAAGTCTTTCTGCCCCTCTTCTCCATGCAGAGACTCTCTTGGTGATAGCTGACTGATTTCAAGGAACTGGATTTTATTGCACATTTCCCTGTGGTCATTAGGACTCAGGTTTCCCATAGAATGATGAGGTCAGGGTATTGGCAGCCAGGATGGTAAAAGCTATCATTTATGATGATCTACTGAGCACCAAGGGGCTTATTAGCATTCTTTGCCTCATTTGGTCTTCCAGGACCCATTGTCATGATTGGTAGGTAGACATTGCCATTATCTGAGCTTACCAGATGGATGGGAACTTGGAGTGACTGCTTTATAACCGGAGTCATTTAATTAGAATACCTGTGCTCTGTGCATCTCCAAAAAAAAAAAGGCAATCATATGTAGAAGTTCTTAAATGTTCATCCTTAAAGGTGTTCCAAATTATTTTAGACACAATGACAGGTGATAGTTGCAAAACCATTGGACTCCGTGTAGGATCTTCCCACGTTGGCTCGGCGTTGAAGCACAGTGGCAGTTGTCTGATGCAGGGGCCGCAGGAACACCCTCAGCATTTGAACTGAGCGTTTTAGAAGACGGACTGATAGACAGTTGTTTACCTTGTGAAATGGATCAGCCCGTTTCTCTATGTGCTGTGGTATTTCAGTTAATACCACTAACAGCACAAGGTAGTTCTTACATAGTAACTGAACATCCCACTAACTGGCATGGTACTCTCCTTCAGCATATTCATCTCAGCTGAACGTCTGTAAACGTGAGGACTTTTTTTTTTCCATTTTCCTAACACGAGCTCTTGGCTTTGTTCCAAGAGTAAATATTTATTGACTGAATATTTGTTCAATGAATGAACGAAGAAATGAATGGACAAATAAATCATGTGGAAGTGAGGCAATAGGTTTACTAGAGGATAGGTTTACTAGTTCTTGATCATTCTGCTTCAGGTCATTGCATTTTACTATAAGAGAAAGTCTTGGCTGGGTGGCTATGGATCACTTAGTGAACGTGCCTGAGTTTACCACCACCTCTTGGTACTTACAGGCCAGGAAGTCGTGGACATGCGTCTTTATGTCTTGATGCTAATTCACTTCACTCTCCTTGTAGTTTCTTTTGTTTATTTTTGTGCTGGTGCTGATGCTCAAGGTCTAGGCGCTGTCCCTGAGCCTTTTTGGCTCAAGACTAGCACTCTACCACTTGAGCCACAGCTCCGTTTCCAGTTGTTTTGGTAGTTCATTAGAGATAAGAGGCTCACAAACTTTTCCTGCCTGGGCAGGCTTTGAACTCTAATCCTCAGATCTCAGCCACCTGAGTAGGTAGGATCACAGGCATAAGCCACCAGCACCCAAATTCTTGTGGGGTTTTTAGAGGGTTGAAAGAGTTCATACAGATAAAGCGTTTAGTGCATAAAGTGTTGGCGTGTAGTGAGTATGAAAAGATGCTGCTTACCTTCATGCTCCGTATTAGAACAGTGCTCTGTGTTCCTAGGCGGAGGCTCTGGATCTGGCTCTATGAGTAGGGGTGAGATGAGCCTGGCGGAGGTTCAGTGTCACCTCGACAAAGAAGGAGCCTCCAACCTGGTGATAGACCTCATCATGAATGCGTCCAGCGACCGTGTGTTCCACGAGAGCATCCTCCTGGCCATCGCCCTGCTGGAGGGAGGCAACACCACCATCCAGGTAGGAATGCAGCTGGGCAGCCGGAGCAGCGTCTCTGTTCTCGGACCCTGATCTCCAGGAGGGGCGAGGACTTGTGTGAGAGACGGCTCGTGGTAATGCCTCCTTGCCATGATGACTCTGCCATCTCGGACACGGCTCCCAAACATGAGTTGTGGGTTGTTGTTTTTTTTGTTTTTTGTTCGGTCGTGGGGCTTGAACTCTGGGCTTGGTCGCTGTCCCTGTGCTCTTTAGCTCAAGATAAGTGCTCTACCACTTGAGCCACAGCACCACTTCCAGTGTTCTAGTGGTTTTTATTGGAGATAAGAGTCTCACGGACTTTCCTGCCCAGACTGGCTTTGAACCACGATCCCCAGATCTCAGCCTCCTGAGTAGCTAGGATGACAGGCGTGAGCCACTGGTGCCTGGCTATGAGTTGTGTTTGAAAGCAGATGAAACACTAAGAACGTGCTAAGAAGATCGATCTTGGGTCTGTGGCATAGAAGTTACTCTATAATGTTTGTGGAATGATTAGATGACGTTTGTTTATAGTTTGTTTGTTTGTTTTGTCCATTATGGGGCTTGAACTCTGGGCCTGGGTGCTGTCCCTCAACTCTTCAGCTCAAGGCTAGGGCTCTACCACTTGAGCCATAGTACCACTTCCAGCTTTTTCTGCTTATGTGGTGCTGAGGAATTGAACCCAGGACCTCATGGATGCAAGGCAAGCACTCCAACCTCTGAGCCACCTTCCTAGCCCCTGTTTATAGTTTTTATCCAAAAATATGGAGGATCTCATCATCAGATGAGCAGAAGAGACTTGGATTGTGTGTGGTACTTAGAAGATTTAATGTGTGTGTGTGTGTGTGTGTGCGTGCGTGCGTGCGCATGCGTGCGTGTGTGTGTGTGCACGCGCGCGCGCACACACACGTGCATGCATGCTAGTCCTGAAGCTTGAACCCAGGGCCTGGGTGCTGTCTCTAAGCTTTGATGCTCAAGGCTAGTGCTCTACCACTTGAGCCAGAGCTCTGCTTCCAGCTTTTGGTGGTTAATTAAGTAGGAGTCTTATGGACATTATTGCATAGGATTGAATCCTTAGATCTCACTCTCTTGAGTAGCTAGGATTACAGGCTTGAACCACCAACAGAAGATTTAAGTTTTGTAACTGTAGAATCTCAACTATCATTAACTACCTTTTATAAATAATTATATATAAATAATAAAACTTGAAAGAATTCACTTTTTTTTTTTTTTAAGGTAAGAGTCTTACTATGTTGCCCAGACTGGCCCTGACCTCTGCTCTTAAACTATCCCTCTGGCTGGGAAGGTGGCTCAGTTGTAGAACACTTTCCTTGCATGCTTGAGGCCCTGGGTTCGATTCCTCAGCACCACATAAGCAAAAAGGAAAAAGCCGGAAATGGCACTATGGCTCAAGTGGTAGAGCGCTAGCCTTGAGCTGAAGAACTGAGGGACAGCGCCCAGGCCCAGAGTTCAGGCCCCACGACAAGACCCAAAAAAACAAAAAGCTATCCTTCTAGCTCAGCTTTCTGAGTAGTTGGGATTTACAAACTTACACTACTTCGTTAGATTAGCAATACCATTTAAAATGATTTCTTTAAAGATTTGTTTTTTAACCATCTCTGTGCACCCTTCCATCTTGGTTAGCTCACTGAATGAGGTTTTCTGGGTGGGGGAGGGCTGTCTGTGAGTACGTGTACATGCATGCATTTCCATCAAATAAAATTCACAGAACAGGATCTTTACCATTATGTGCCTATTTGAGCTGACATATTCTTGGCCTTGAAGTGCAGAGTTGGGATCGCTGAAGGCTTTGGTTCTTTGTGAAGCATCACAGAAGGGCGTTGCTTCCTGTGGGTAGATGCCACCTGAGCCAGGACACCTGGCTTGGCACATGGAGCACAGGTTGCGTTTCAGCCACCACTCACTCTCTTCAGCCGGGTTCCCTGTGTCTCGCACATCTGGCAGCGGTGCCCTTGCTTCCCACCCTTCGGTCTCCACTTACCCAGTGCTCACACTTCGGAAGGTCACGAGTATGCATCACAGTTAACTGCGGACTCTGACTCTGACTTAGCTACACTGTGCCAATGGCAAAGACTACTACTTGTCTGCTGGTCGTGGGCACACAAGCCATCACAGGCTGGGACTGTAGTTGGGTGTTGTCTGATTGTGAAAGTGTCTGGATCCTGTGGTCCTGTACACACACACACCTGGATCCTGTGGTCCTGTACAAACACACACACACACACACACACACACTCTCATCTGTGCTCCTGATGGATGGATGTCTGGGCTCAGGAACCATTGCTAAAATGCTGCTTGTCTTTCAACTGCATGTTTTCCTGTGACTACATCAGCTGATCTGAATAGAGTGCTTTTTGTGGGCCTGCTGCTTTACTAGGGAGCCCCCAGGGCAGGGAGGTTCTAGGCGAGTAAGTCTATGGGAATGTTCTCCAGGCAAGTGTGGAAAATGAGTGCAGTCAGTCTGGAGTGTATGCACTGAATTGCTGATCACCTCTCCTGTTTTCATATTAATTCCAGTTTCTTTTAAATAAATAAAATGGTATTGATAGCAGGATGTTTGGGGGGTTTTTTTTGGCTACTGGCCACGTAAGAAACTAAGTCATTCTGTCCTTCTTGTTGTTGGCGTTGTTTTTTTTTTTCTTTCCTTTGTTTTGTTTTTTAAGCTTTCCTATTTTGAGAAATCCCAAGAACTGAATAGCTGCCAAGTATGCCAGCATACGCATGCGTGTACAGAGGAAGCTATACCTTAGTAATAATGTTTAGCTGCGGGAGCCACCTAAGGGAAGTAGCTGTGCTGTTGTATGGAGGTGACCAGTACCATGTCCTCTGAAGGATGGGCGTGGGTGGCTCTGGGAGGGAAGACCAGGGCAGGCACAGTCGCTGTCCTCACAGACAGGGGTGAGGCCTCTGAGGCGAGGATGGTTGCGTGGTGGAGCGGAGGGGCTGATGGGAGCTAGGGTGGTGTGTGGTAGCAGTCCAGCCCTGAGGGGACTCACAGGTTAAGGTTGTAAAATGCACAACATAGGACGGATAAACTAGGGGAAGCCAGGTCGAGAGGAGGTAGTCAGGAATCAAACAGTAACTGCCTGTAATCTTAAACACTGAAGGCCAACCTGGGCTGCCTAGCGAGTTCAAGGCCAGCCTGGTTCATTTGCTTCACTGCAGTCACCCACCCTCTCTCTGCATTCCTCGTACCATCCTGGTGTATGCCTTAAACATGCATGGTTAAAGTTACCCTTAAAACAAGTTAACTAGCTGGGCACTGGTGGCTCATACCTATAATCCTAGCTACTCAGGAAGCTGATTTCTAAGGATCACGGTTCAAAGCCAGCCTGGGCAGGAAAGTCTATGATACTCTCATCTCTAATGAACCACCAGAAAACTGGAAGTGGCGCTGTGGCTCAAGTGGTAGAGTGCTAGCCTTGAGCTGAAGAGCTGAGGGACAGCGCCCAGGCCCAGAGTTCAAGCCCCAAAACTGACAAAAACAAAACAAAACAAAATGTTAACTAGCAGAACTTTAGGGCAGAGGGAGTAAGAGCTTGAACTAATGAGACCATAACTCAGGGCAGGGTACCAGAGAGCCCGCGGGGAGACTTGCATGAACGTGACGGTCATGTTCCACTCACTGTACCCGTGCTTACACACCAAGCCATACACTTACAAAGGATGTGCCCTGCTGTGTGATAGCTCCATAAGAAGAGAGAAAATGCTGGGCTGGGAAGGTGGCTCAGTGGTAGAGCACTTGCCTTGCATGCATGAGGCCCTGGGTTCGATTCCTCAGTACCACATAAGCAGAAAAAGCTGGAAATGGTGCTGTGGTTCAAGTGGTAGAGCACTAGCCTTGAGCTGAGGGACAGCACCCAGGCCCAGAGTTCAGGCCCCACGATGAAAAGAGAGAGAGAGAGAGAGAGAGAAAATGCAAGCGACGAACTGAGGGCCCAGACCATACTGGGACTGAAGGAGAGGGAAAAAGCAGAGGGTTTGGACCAGGCCTGGACCCTGGGCCCATGAGGACTGGAATGTGGAAGCCGGCTGCCCAGCCCCATGCACCGAAGGCTTCCCGCCCCAGAGATGAGCACATGTCTGAGGCAGGAATACAGAAGGCTGGGGCGGCGGGCGGGGCTGAGCGCCAGGGCCGGGCTGGCTGGGGAGCCAGAGCCCAGGGCTCCGGCGAGACTCTGTGTTTGTCACAGCGTACCCCGATGGGATGGCAAGGCACACAGAAGCTGTTTTTCCCGCCGCGTTCTTTATCTTGTACAGTAATTATGAATATTAGTTCCATGTTTTCACACATTTGTGACTCATATGCCTGCATTCCACATGAAATGCCATGAGCTCAGCTGCTCGTGGGGCAGAGCCACTTCCTCTCCAGAGAGCTGGGGTGCTCACGCTGGGGGGGGGGGGTCCTGGATGTGGTGGCCTCTGGTCCCCTCTCCAGGATGGAAGGCAAGACCTCCCCCTCCCACCCCCATCTCTTTTGTGACTTCTGAAGGCCATGCAGGAGGCCTGCGGTTCCAGAAGAAACTCTGCCAGCTCAGAGATGACTTGTGAGATTCCCCTTGGCCCCGAGCTTCTCTTTTCTCTGGAGACAATGATGCACAACTTGCGTGGTATCCAGGGCCGATCAAGGACAGGACCCCTGGAGCCCCGGGGGAGGGCGATTCAGAGCTGCATCTCCTGTAGACAAGTTGAATTGCACGTGGTAAATGACGGGCTGGGCGGTGCGCCTGGCCGCAATGGTGGCCAGCAGCTATGGCCGAGACTCTCATCCACGCCACACAGGGCCACTGCGGCTGGAACTCACTGCCCGCCGCCTCTTCCTGTGCAGCGGGCTACCTCCTCTTACAACGGTGTATTGACTATGAGGGCAGAGGCAAAACAGCCCTCATGGTTAGCATCCAGTAGCAGGATTCAGTGCTTCATACCTAAGAAATGACACCTGCTTTCCCGTCCAGTTTTGTGTGATACTAGGGAATGTATCCTTG